GTTTTTTTAACCCTGTCCAGATATCCTTGCGAAGATGATAAAAGATGATTTTTTTTTCTACGAGGATGATAAAAGCTTTTAAAATTAAAAATGGATATAAATTCCATGTTATAACGCAGATATTACTGCTTTATTTTGTTACAAGATCGATGTAAGTTTCGTGAAAGACGAGACAAAGTATCGTTATTTCAATAACGAAGGAAATATTTCGATATGATTATAATCGATAATCGCGTTTCGAATTAAAAAAGGATTAATCGAAACTCGTAACTTTTTTTTCGATTAACGGTAGAAAAACGTTTAAGATGCATAGATGCAACTTGTCCAATTTTTCCCTCGTCGCCCTTAATCCGCAGAGAGTCGAAAAAGCATTCGAGTCTCCGAGTTAGATTAACATCCTATACTCGGTTTCATGCATATTTCAACGAGATGGATGGAAAATGAATAAAAGTCGTCGCGATTCCAACTTTGCGGGACAAACCTTTCTTCTTTCTCTTCCTCGATTTCGCGCGAGGATCGTTTCCAGGTCTTGTTTTAACGTGGAATGAACGGCCGTGAGAATGCCGTATACTAAAAACGAAGGAATTGTCAGGGAACATCGCGGCATAGCGTTGGTTCTTTTCCTTCTGTTCTTTATTCCTCGACTCGGTTGAATTTAGCGGGGTATCGCGGGACAGCAGGAATTAATAAGAGGTTCTCTGGAGGGGTAGGGGAGCACGGCTATGTCGTACCATGGGGTACAAATGAATTGTCATGAATATGTAAATTGAATTTCGAGCTGGTCGTCGAGCGTTGCACGAGATGCTCGGGGGAATAACGGTGGGGAACGAGCATGGTACACTCTCTGTTTGTACTGATCGTATTCAATTTGGAACGCGTCACCTCGGTCGCCTTCCGATGAATTTTTGCTTTTTAGAGACAACTAGCCTCTATCCGTATCGCCCTGCTCTCTCGTGGATCGCGGTTGTTGCCGTTCGCCTCGAGGCAAAACCCCGGATCCGTTCATTCCATCGCGCGTTACCGATTTTACCCGCGAAAGTAGGTTCGAGAGATACAAGGGAACCGAGTTCGGCAGCGCGGAAACGTGGTAAAATTCGCGGAGCGGAGAAGAAAGGGGAATTTCGCGTTTCAAATTCGTAATTTCATAATATATTTCTCCACTTGGATTGGTTTTCATCGAGTATAAATCTCGTCAAAGATAATGCTCGGTTCCGAAATAGCTTTTCATCACCGCGTCGAAACGCGATGTTTCTCTCGCTCGAGTAGACACGCTATAATATATCCGATTTACGATTTCACGGTTACGATTAACAGGTCGCGTTGAACGACCATCCCTCGCCCGAACCCTCGACACGATTTCATCTTCGTCGATGAAGAAGATCGATGATCGATCCACCTAGCCCCTAGACTAGAAATTAGGTTTAGAGAGAAGAGCCGGTGTCGCGGTGTCCCGTGTTATCAGAATATTCTCCGCGCTAATCTCGCTCAATGACCGTTGCTGATGGTCCACGTCAGTGATGGATGGAGTAAATATCCCTAGTGACGTACACTAAATAATATTTCACTAGATCGATGTCGAAAGATATAGACTGGTTGATTTGATATATGGCACGGGAATCAATCTTAATTTGCAATCTCTTTTCTTTTCAACAGATGTTTGCTCTCGCTTCGTCGTTTGTTATTAACCGCCACCGGATCGAAAGTCTTATCTTTTTTTCCCTCTCGTTGTTACGAAATATATAAAACGGTAAAAAATGTATTCGTTTCCAGAATAGAAGATTATTAAAAATATCGAATTAATAGGGACGAGTTTAAAATTAGCCTCGTGTATCTTTTCTTAAATGGGATATTTTATCTTTTTTTTTTTTTTTTTTTTTTTTTTGGATTTAACGATAATCGTATAATAACTATTCGAGAACGATTCGAAGACGTGTACTCAGAAATGTTAAAAAGAAAAATAAAAGCGCGAAAAATAAGTTAACTTATTCGGACGATTCTAACGATTCTAATGATTCATCGTGTATTTTTATCCGCGCGATCATCCTTTGCCTCTTTTCTCTTCTTTCTCTTCTTTTTCTTCTTTATTTTTTTTTCTTTTTTATCAAATTCGCGTCAATTCATTTTCGCAAACGATCGTACAGGCTAATAGCGTGGACAATTTGAAATCTAAAAATTTTTAGGTGAGAATGCTTCTGGTAAATTCGATTGTTCCATCGTTGGCCTGTGCGTGTTCCCCGAATCGTGGACTCCGTTGTTTCTATTGTACAGTGAGAAAATCTGTACAATAGAGTGGATATTTCGCCGCAGCAAACGCAAAACGAATATTTGAACTCGGGGTTTGTTGTTGTCGGATTCTGATCGTGTAACACGCATCTCTGCCTGTCCCTCTGTAATCCGTTTGAAGTTGCGGAAATATGAATTTTTATACTGGCTGTACATTGAACTCAAAGTGTGGGACTCGTCAAATCTAGTTACACTCGACTACGTCGATGAAATATTTTTCGTCAAACGTCCTTATATTGTTTTTTTTTTTTTTTTTTTTTTTTTTTTTTTTTTTTTTTTTTTTTTTTTTTTTTTTTTTTTTTTTTTTTTTTTTTTTTTTTTCTATTTCAATTTTGACCGCAACAGATTTTGTCATCGAGTCAGCGGTCAAAATTTGATAGTGAAATCATAGATAACAGCCGATAATTTTGAAAATTGAGAAAAAAATCGCATATACGATTTAACCAGAGATACGTTTAGGAAAATGAAATTGTAACTTCGTTCGATACGGAAAAGAGAAAATAAATTTTTCGTAAAACGAGCACGTGACGTGTAATGATCGAGTAATAATTATCCAATATCGGATAGTAAAAATTGAAAGATAATATGAATATATTCAATTGGTGGGAAAGTTATGTATGGTTTTTGGATTCTTTCGTAAGAGAGAACTCATTTAAGTGGGAACGTTATTCTGTTTATAGTCAATCCTTTTTACGAGGGTGATGTTCTTAAAATATTCTTATTTGAACTTCAACATCAATTTACATAAAGTAATTGTCGCGCTTGGACGTAAGATATTTCTGTTTTTAATTATTCATATTACATGAATTTAAAATAAATGCAAATATGCAGAATATTTTCCATATTATTGAAGTAAATAACACGAGCAAATATACGCGTCGATAAACGTTGGTTTACCCCAAATATCGCGATCGAATTTTAAACTACAAAAGTAAATTTTAATAAATCGTTCTTATTGAGAGATAAATAAAAAGAATTTATCGTTAAACTACATAATGATTTTGCGATATTTATTATCGTAAAATTCATAAATGATTTCAAAGAAATGATGGACATACATCATCTATAATAAGGCAAATTATCGTTGCATTTATATCGACATTATTACTCTCTCTCGTCGATTCAATACATATCTCGATGAATTTTATGAATAAATTGTAAATAAATAATTATTGTAATTACATACGTAATTACTATTTAATTTTTCAAAAGCTAAACAGTCATCGTTATCACTCGAATCCAGGCCAGTTTGTGATTTATATTACGCAAAATAAAACTAACAACGAAACGTATATATTCAATGTTTCTTTATAAAAGAATTACGCATAAAATATCGCGACTGAACTTTTCAAAAGTCCAACAGTTACTTTTAATTAAGGCAGTTGGTTGTTTTTATGCAAAATAAAAAAAAAAAAAAAAGAAATAGTAAAAAACAAAACGTATTCGACGGCGTAATCGATTCACCGGTGCTTAAATTTTCACGGGTTAAACAGTTACTCTCAATTAATTCGTAGCACGAATTATGCAAAATAAAAATACGAAACGGTATTCATTCATGAAAAGAATTATATTCATCTATAAAAGAATCGCGCGAAATCGTATCACGGATTGATTTAAGAAAGATCAAGTTTTCTCCATTTACACACGGCAAGTTTCATTAGAATCGACGAGAATGTAATAAGTTGATGGCATCTTCGTGTTACCAACGTAAGTGAGCGAGAGTGGAATCACGTGGCGCGTCGATTTATCCGAGTGAGTCAAGCTTGCCGGTGCGTCTTACCTAGAAATAGCTCGTTAAAATCACCCTGTCCCCCGATGAAGACCCCATAGTGTATATTCAGTTCAAAGAAACGTCCTGGTAGAAGGGACTTGGTCGTGTGTATCACGTCAATTTGTAGGGTGATGTTAGCCTCTCGCCTCGTCAGATTGACCTCGTGCCAGCTCAGGTCGTTCAACGTCAATCCACGAGCACTGGACATCTCGCTTTCACCCGCCCCTAAATTGATGTGGACCTGTGGAAAAATCAGAAGGGACCATCCTCTTAAATTATTCTATACCAAAGATAGACGAAGACTTTGATGTACCGGTAAAGTTCGGAAACTCTATCGCAAGTTTCCCTCCAAGATAATTACTCTTTGTTGGAAATTTAGATAAGGTAATGCATAAAGGAAAATTATTTTTTTAATGAAGTAAAATTCGAAGGGGGATGTACCTGTTTCGCTTAGAGGGAAACATGACCGAGAAATAACTTAAGTTTCTTCTTGCAACTATTTTGGCGAAATAACATCTTCAGAAATTTCTCTTCCTCCTCCTCTTCTCTCTCTCTCTTTCTCTCTCTAAGAGAAAAACTGTTTTCGTTCTACCTTTGCAGGCATTACGTCTTCGATTTGTGCATGCAAAGTGTAAAAGGGCGGTCCGGAAACGTATTAAATATTGATCTTTTCCCAATTGCCATCTATTACTCGTTTATCAGATTTCTCTTTTAACCAGATACCGTGTAATCGGATTTTCTAAAATCCTCTCTCGAATTCGTTTGGTGGAAAGTCGCGTGAAAAAGGTGAAAATAATTCATAAAGAATGTTCCATAAAGAATAGTAAATAATTCGCCTTATAATTCTTCCCTTATTTAGGAAAAGTTAGTCGCGCGTTGTCGGATACGGACTTTTAAGTAAATTGGAATAAAAATTAACATCTCTTTAACTGTGTATGTGCGTCGTTTAAAATCCGTAAGAGAACGTCTGTCGAGGGAAAAAGAAAGAGAGATCTGCCACGAGTAATCCAGTTACCGTTAAAAAAAAAAAAAAATCAGTTGACATACATACTATGTAGCAAGTACATTTTATTAATCCGAACCTCGACCTTTCCGCTCAGATCCCCGCTTCGAGGCCACAAACGACCGGGGATTACGATGTTTCCTTTTTTTTTTTTTTTTTTCCTCTCTCCTCCGTTTAGCGGCACCTTGGCTCGACATTATGAGACGGGTTCGAGTAATGCATTATCGAGTTAGGACAGTACACGACGCGCTTTAGCGAGAGGTGAAGCGGCAGCCTCTGATAAAGAGTCTTTAATCGCGACCTAAATCGACCTTCCGAGACTTATAGCGTTGTCTTAGCGTAACTTGCACCATCCTCTCTTCTCGTTGATCTTGCGTGGAAGGGGGAAAGCATCGAGACAGCCGAGGTAGAATCGTGTCTTAATGAAAAGTCGATCGTTCTCGGAGAGAGACGAGTCGAAATTACGAGGGAGAGGCGCGATTGGCATCGAGGCCGATCCGTAGCATCGACTCCGCTTCAGACGGCCTCTTCTCCCGCCGCCGTTCTCCGATCGATTTCGTAATAAAGGCGTGAGCTTTTGCGAGTTGCAAGTTCACCCCGATAGTAGCGCAATGTCCGATGACTATGCAGGATCCCCCATTAATATGTATAAGCGCGAGAGACACGACACTTCGTCGAGTGTAAACGCGAATTTATACGTTTCGAAGGTCGAAGACACCAGGGCGATGCATTATCGATGCACCATCGTTGATTGGAAAGGGAACAACGACAAAATATTCGATCGATCGATTGCAATTGATAAAAGAAAAAGATATTTCTCTTTTTCCTTTCTTTTCGAAATGAAAAAGAAATCGTGCGAAATTGTACGCATTCGATCGGATCCGTGGACAAATTGTTTCCAACTTTTTTACGTAATGCGATTTACGTTTGATTAAATTGATAAACATTTTACGATTCGACGGTAAACAAAATGTTGCATCGCGCAATAAAATAAATGAATTCGACAACGCGTTGGTGAAACTACCGAGAGTAAACGATATATACCTCTCGTGGACGAGTCCGAACTTCCGAATAATAGAATAATTGGGAAGATGGAAAAGGTTTTAAGCGGATAAAAGCGGTGCGGGAGAGACGTGGCTCGACAGGCACACGAGACGTTGAAACGATTCCATTGCACTTTTTGCTCGCCCGTTTATCCCTCTTCTCATCCTCCTTAACGATCTTCTTAACAAATTTAATTAAGCTCAGACAGACACCCACCTACCCGTCTTCTCATGATTCGACCTGTGGACTTAACCCTTCGCGAAATTAGATTCGCGCGGTTTTCACTCTGGATCTTTGGGATCCAGTGAGAAACGGCATTTTCCTCGCGCCCTAATGCACTTGGACGATGTTTTAACACTCTATCGCGATACTGGATTACACCTGATCTTCGTCTTACGATCAAAAGAAAAACGATCTGAATTTTTCAAATAATAATTCCGCTATGTTACGTGTTACGTTCGCCCATTAATCATCTCGGATGGTATCGGATAAAATCGGTTGCCCGGCTGTAATTTTCTCGATTTTTCGAGAGATTTAAGATGTCTTCGGGAAGGAACTACTACACCATGTTCCAGATTTTTACTCGAATTATATCGATTGCCGAGGTCTTTCTCGATCAGCTGAATAGGCTGATTGCTCTGCAATTTTTTCGTATTTATTAGTGTTCGCGACCTAGCGTTTTCCACCGTTTTCTACCTTTTTTTTTTCTTCCTTGCTGAATTAGATCAAATTAAAGGTTCGAGAATATTTGCTCGACTATATTTCGTACAGTTATCGTTCATTTCAGTTTCTCGATTCGAAGCTACGTTTCGCAATTTCCGATTATTCTTTACTTCTACTATAAAAGATCGATAATCTAGCAATTTATAACTTCAAAAGATTCATTGTCTGCAAACTTATTTCGAGTTTAAATTCCACTCGAATCTATTTATGCACCTATCATAGCGCATCGATGAAACTCGCGAAATATTGAGATTTCGACTCGTTAATCTCGTTAATTGAAATTAATATTGGTCGTCTTAAAGCGTTCGATGAAGAAAATACGCGTCATCGGTACAAAGATTGTAAATTTCCGTCAAAGAATATGAATACATCGAGGCGAAATAACATCGATGAGCGATTAATGTAAATGTTTCAGAGATTCGTGTTTACATCCACTTATCGACCGTTCGTCGTTTTATGAACGCGACCATCGAATATAATACATTCGAATTAATCGTAATAAGCATCCCGATAAACAACCGGTTCCTATTTAGCGTAACGAAGTTGCACGTACACGCTACTTCGCACGAAAGTATGTTTATTTCGAACAAGATTTATTTTAATTTCGAAATTACGTATAAAAGGATCCGCAATAATTTTATTCTTCGTAATTGGTACGAATGTTTGTACCGTTGCACCATTAATTATTAATTTGAATAACGAAGAGAATTCTTTCGTTATTTGAGGAATCATATTTCTCGTGAATTTACGCGATCTGTAATTATCCGTGTATATGTAATAATATATATAAATTACCTAATTATCGAACAGACTACTACCACATCGCGTACATCGACGAATCATGAATTTGATTCTAATCAACTCGCGTGTTGCTGTTAAATTTTATCGCGAATAATGTTAATTATCGGTCTATTGACTTTATAATAAGGTAATAAATTCAATCTCATCCTTCGTTTCTATACTTTGTTAAAATTCGAATATTTATCCGAATATATTATTGCCACGAATGGAGCGAAATATCGCGATACTTATGAACGATAGCGTATTCCGCGACGGTGTGTTGTACCTATGCCCTGTACACCGATTCTTCTCACGAATTCTAGTAATTTGTAACTAGAGCTCGACGACGATTACTATCTAAGAGCAAAGTGGCCCATCTGGGCTTGCTTGTCCCCCGTGCGTCGTTGTTCTTCGTAATGCAACCGGGTACGCTCGATGGTGTCGTTTAATTCTGCTCCAACGAGTGTTCGTTTCGGGCCGACGTCACGATATCACCGGCGATCGTTTATAACCGTGCTTGTTAATACGTGCGCCGAGAATTCATACCTGAGCCGTCTTATTTCACCGACGAGAGCCGACCGAAACAAATTTGTTTCTTTTTTTTTTTTTTTTTT